TGTGTGTGTGTGTGCATGTGTGCATATGTGGTATGTGGTTCCTTTTCAGAAGAGGAATAGCTGTTAATGGAAAAAGTGATGACCAAAATAGTTTAGACTCTGTGTCAGCCAGCCTGGTCTCAAACCCCAGCTCTGCCTTTTGCTAGCGTGACCACCTGTGAAATGGGAGTAGTAGAGGCCCTTCACTGTGTTGGCATGGTGGGAACGATCGTGTACATGCAGTGTGTGTGCTTTAGGGCCTCAGGTAATAAGCTGACGCTGACTGTAATTTGCTGCTCTCCCAAAGATGCTCTCCTCAAAGGACCACTTGAGTGATCAGAAAAGATTTCTAGGATATTTTCTCTTATTGTGACCACTGAAGGCTGTAAGGGTGGGCTGAGGTTCTGGTGTGCTTGTTTTGATGTGAGCTTAGCATTCAGACTGACCCCTCAGAGCTTGACTTAACTCGTTGTTCCAATATTTCATTATTTCTCTGTCCCACCTCTAATCTAAATTGAAGAAAAGCATGCCTCATGTGATACTTTGTAAGCAGATGCCTCAAAACCATCTTCCTCTAAGTTAATTCCCATGACCTAATATCAAGCACATAAGTCTCCTCAGCTTGTTTAAAAAAAAAAAAATCTTCGCATGCATCCATCAACGTGGCATACTGCAGAGCATAATATTTGGAGAAAAACGAGGCAAAATGCACTTAATAAAATTGCAAGCATATGGTGAAGTTCTCAGACAAGTTATTTATGGTCTTGATTAACCTTGCAACATTTTTTTGCCATTTTCATAGGTTTTAACATAACAACAGAAAAATATTTCCTTTACCTTTTAACATGACAAGATTATCTTATCTCCTGTTCTTTAATTTAGCCTTCACTTCTCTCCCTCACCCCAAAATATCTAGCAGCTTGATCCTGGAAAAGCAGAGCTTCTTGTGCTCAGTGATAGTTCATTTCATGTGTGTTGTTTCCCCGACTCTAGTGCGTAGCAACAGCACCACCCAGAGGACAAGGTCCCAAGTTTCTAGGCTCTGTTCCGTTCCTTGGCTCATAGATGTATCAGTGTTTTACATGATGGCTGCTGGCTGCCATGTGTACAATATGTAATATACTAGCATTTCAGGCTCTTTCTAGTTAATAGGTCTTACTTTGTTCTGATCTACAGATTCATTAACTTCTCAGCTGTCTTTGGGTATAATGAGTTGTCTTTTAATCCTCCTGGTTGATTGTGCTAAGCTGCAGATAAATCAGATGAGCAAGCTGTTCTTTATACCACTAATAGAAATGATATATGAAAACTAATACTGGAGTCAGTGTAGTATCTGTGCTGTCAGGAGAAAATATTAAAATGTGCAAGTTGTTGTGTGTTTAATGACTATGAAAGTCACTTCATGAAATAAACTTTTCTCTTTCTTAGAGGGTTGTCTATTATATCTTATGTTGTCTCAAATTTAGCAATGTGGCAAGCATTTTCTTTGATTTTAAATATATAGTTACATATCAGAAGAATGAAATCAAATTAATTTATGGTAAGGAGATAGTCCTACATATATCAAATACATGTATTTCAGGACCACTTTTTCTTCCTGCCATTAACTGAACTGAGTTTGTCATATTTGTTATTCAAAACCTATTTATTTACTGATTGAAGTGAACCTCTGAGCTAGATTAAGCCCTGCGACTTACTGATTAAGAGGGTAAACTGAGGAATGAAACTGGATGGGTTCAAATTCAGGCCCCACTATTTCCTGACTGGCATGACCTTAGGTTAACACCCCCTTCTTCAAATGATCACTCCACCCTCTGGAGAACAGAAATGGTTACAGAATCCTATTTCCTCCTCGTTTAGATGCAGTTGTTAATCCTATCTATTTCATAGAACTGTGAAAAAATGGAAAAAAGTGAAAAAGTGAAGTAGCTCAGTTGTGTCCCACTCTTTGCGACCCCATGGACTGTAGCCTACCAGGCTCCTCCATCCATGGATCTTCCAGGTAAGAATACTGGAATGGGTTGCCATTCCCTTCTCCAGGGGATTTTCCCAACCCAGGGATTGAACCCAGGTCTCCCACATTGTAGGCAGACGCTTTACCTTCTGAGCCACCAGGGAAGTCCAGCAAGGATTTAACACAGAGCAAGTCCTCAATAAATATCAGTTACTACTGTTATTACTTATTGTTGTCTTGGTTATTTGTAGGGCTTCCCTCGTGGCTTAGCTGGTAAAGAATCCGCCTGCAATTTGGGAGACCTGGGTTGGATCCCTGGGTTGGGAAGATCCCCTGGAGAAGGGAAAGGCTACCCTCTCCAGTATTCTGGCCTGGAGAATTCCATGGACTGGTCATTTGTAGGTGTTCGTTATTATTCCTGTGCTGCTTCTTGCTGAATTCCAAAATAAAAAAAATTGATCTTATTTTTTTTAACTGGTGCTTTCATGGAATGTTCCCTACCTAGAAGTAGTCAAAACTGGTTTACTGCTGCACATGTACAGAAACCTATCTATTTCATTTGTGGGTGGGGATGTTTGGCTTCAGACGGTTCATCTGTTACCCCTGCCTCCACCCCCATCATGCTCAGAGAGCTGTTAGAAGCAATTAGGCCATTCTGATGTGGGCCGGGAAAACAGAAAGACATCATTAAAGTGAAAGCTCTGCCTTTTGAAAGCATTAAAAGCAAAGTTGTGGGAACTGGAGTATCGTAAAGGAGCTTTTTAGCTACATCATTGCCATAATCCCTTCCTGTCCCTGAACGTGATTATGAAATTAGAAGACATGTACAGAGGGGGAACTGAGGCCACCCAATTTTGTATTGTACCCTCCTGAAAGCAAGACTTGGACTCTTCCCCGACAGAGTCATTCGCAGTTGGGGTTTATGTCAGTTTTAGCAGTTACATGTATGAGTCAGAATGCTTTACCATGATATGCTACTATTAAATTTCAATTCACTATTGAATAAAACATTTGGGGGTAAAAACTTAGTTTTCAATAGTAAAAATTAAAGAATTGGGTATTCAGACCTGGTTCCACCACCTTGCAGTTATTTTTAACTGAATTTTTTTTATTTACCTTTCTGTCTATTCATGTCAGTAGTCCTTATTACTTCAAAAAGTTTACACTGATTATTTCTCTATTTTCTTACACTTTAAAATCACTGTGAATGTGAATCTTTTATGTTAGTGTATTTTCTTTACTCCTTGTATCATTGTGTCTGTTTTATAGAAACATGAGCAAACGTGGAAGGGCATGTTTGCCTAAGTGAGAATTTGGTCACAAACCAAACAGCATTCTGTAACCATTTCTATTCTCCAGAGAGTGGAGTGAGTCATTTGGAAGAAGGGAGTTAGGGACAGGTGTAAAATAGAATTAACAGCATAAAATTAGGAAAATGGAAATTTGTCTGAATAGCAGAACTGTGATGCTTAGAGAGTTATTTAAATGCTTCAAAAAGTAAATAGGTGGAGATCCATTCACTAGAGGCCTGAGTACAGCTGAAATTCTGGATGAATACTAATGAATATATTACTGGGAGTATTTCTACACCACTGTGAGTTGGTCTAGAGAACCTGTTAGGCATTTTGCTTACTAATTCCTTTTATGCTGTGAAATAATAAAGCCTAAATCATAGAACTAAATTTTACTTGCAAAGTGCTGGAAGTCTTATTTCTCCAGTGAGATCAAATATGTCTTATGATATGTTTTTCCTTCTACTGTTCTCCCAGCTGTTCTTCTTATTACTGAAATGGTGATGTATTGATATTCGTTCAATTACCAAAGTATCTGAGCACATTTAAATTCATGGTGCATCACAGATAGGCTAAGTGACTGTGGTTATCAGACAGGGTGTTTGATTTAAAGAAACACTTCCAAGAGATTATTTATAGAGAAAAACGGTTTAAAGAATTCCCATCACCCATGTCATTAATATTTTAGGACCCCACTAAGTTAAGGAATATGTGGAAAATAAGGAATATGTGCCTTTTATGTACAGGCATCATTGCCACACTGTTTTCTTCAGCTGGGGCCACATTATGGCTGAGAAAACCTTAACACCTTAAAACCTTAACACCAACCCCATTAAGTAAGGAAGTAACAGAAGTCTTTTAAATGCTATTCAGATATGTATACCAAATTCAAAATTGTAATGAAATGAGAGTGTTAAAAATGGTTTTCATATTAGAATTACATGGTTGCTAACCACATAAAAGAAATACTTTGCGGAGATGTTCAAAAAGAATTTCTATCAGATATAATGGAATTTTCTCCCTTTATAGAACAAAGGAAAAACGTCAAGTTGCGTTGGAGGCAAGTATTTAAGGCTTACATGAAATGTAGTTTTTTAGCTATGTTTTGGAAAAGGTTTCTTGCGAAGGAGAAAATTCAGATTTCATATGTTTGTTAGGTATTGGAATCAGTTCTTTCAGTTCTGTGATTAATGCTTGAGGTTCTATTATGCTAGGGGAAACTGACTGCCTTGACCTAAGATTTATATGTGCAATTCCAATAATGAAAGTAACCATTGTCCTTGCAAATTTAGTAACATTGGGATATAAATATATGTATATGCTGTATCTAATAATGAAAATAGATAATATCATTGCAAATTTAGTAATATTGAGATATAAATATATGTATATTCCCTATCTCTGAGTCTCCAGTCATTTGCTAACATATGCTATGCAGCATTAATTCCAGGAGACATTTTGTTTTGTTGTATCTGGAAATAGCAACCTTTGTTAGCAGTGTAAAAACTCCACAAAGAGGAGAATTCCACACATGAACTTTAGTCACACCATAGATGCTGTCTAATCCAGTGACTGGCCATTAAAATAACCTCTGCTTTCCCTCATATACCACGTTGTTACTTCCTGGATCTCCCAAACAACCTTCAACTCTTCGTAAAATAACCTTCTTACAGGTTATTTCTCAGGAAAAAACTAAAGTAGTGAGAGTGCATGTGAAAGTTTATATAAAGAGCATTATGCTGATTAGTACCTCAGATATGTTTTATCTTTTACAGCCTGTCAACCAGGGCCGTCACTATCAGAAAGAAATGAACCCACCTTCTCCTTCTAACCCCCGGTAAGAATCATTAAAAAGCTAAATTTAAAACAAGGATTATTTAGGGATTGACTCTCCATTTTTCTTGGTTTCTTAAAATTGTTTCCCAAACTTCTGAAGAGCTTGCAAAGTTCTTTTTGTTAGAAGTTTTAGTTTAGTCTACTCTTCTTAATCAGACTGTGTTGTCTTGATTAATAGTGTAACTAGGTTTTTATGGCACTTCTGCCTTTTACTAGCTGGGGGACTTTGAGAAAGTCATTTGAGTCAGAGTAATTCAGGCATAATAATTACCTCAGTAGTATTTTGGGAATATATGAAAAATCCTTAGCACAGTTCCTGGCAACATAGCAAACTCTCTTTAAATGTTCATTTACTTAGTATTATTCTGTTTGCATAGATATTTCATCTTAATAGGTACTTGATGTTCAGTGCATTTTAGACATAAATCTTTGTATCACCTGGTGCTTTTACATTCATCAAGATAGCTTATATGAGTTCAAATGGCCATTCTCTTTTTCATAATTTCAAAGTTCATAATCTCAAAATAATTTCATTATTTCAAAAATGTCATTGATACAAGTCATTTGTCAACATAGAAGAACCTTATTTTATTAGGCTTATTAGAGATAAGTGTATCTGAATTAAAGTTTTGAACTATATGTAATATTATATGGATTTTTAAAAATACTTAAATAAGCTATTGATAGTTTATCCATATAATTCAATATCACTTTATTACTGTTTGTTAAATAGTAGGAATTTACTGAAAACCAGTATGTCATGAGCTCCACCCTCAGCATCTTAGTTATTACAGTACAACTCATATCTAAATGCTTCTTATTATCAAGCTCTCTCACCTGAGTGAAACAGACAGGAAGGATTTGTTAAATAAGAATACAGGGCTGTACCCTGGAAGCCAAGGGCAGCCAGGCCTCAGGAGGGCTCTATATTGGGAACTAGAAAGCAGAGAGGCAGATAGGCAGTATCCTGCACCCCATCTCTGCTCACTTCTTCCTATCTGCTCCATTCTTCCAAGCACCAGCTTTCTTTACTTCTCAGTCACATGTGGCTGTCTTGAGTTTACATATTACAGTTCAGAGTAATGCTGAGGCTGACAGTCTATGCCTGAATCACAGTTCCTACTTTCCTGGAGAAAGAATATGGTTGGCCTAGCTTGGGCTAAGTATTCACTTCTGGTCTAATCAGCAATGAAGAGCCAACCAGCCAAGCCATGTCAAATTAACATGGCTACCAGAAAACCATCTACATGGTTTACAGGACTTTTAATGGGGCCCAGAATGTTCATGAGTAATTGTTCTTTATTAGTAATCTCTTCTAAGTGTTTCTGGTTGTCTGTATACTCAATCTGTCTTTCTTGTGTGTTACCTAGTAGGCAGAATTGTCACTATCATAAATAGATATAATAAGGAGTTGAAAATTGAGACTGTAATTTCAGTGTATATAGAAAGATGTTTAAACATTCTTCAGAATAGTTCTCTCTTGATATGTGAATACGAATTTTCTAATTGGCAGCTCATCTAGATTTGACCAATAGACTATCTCTATATGAATAAACTTTCAGGATAACTGAAAGTCTAACTTTGGTCCAAATTATAATAGAACTTGTAAGCTGAGTAAATGAACGTGATAGAAAGTTATGTTAGAAAGTGGAGCATTTTGTTTCAGTGAACGGAAAACAGGGGCCTAATTTTCATCCTACCTCTGCTACTAACCCAGTGTATGATCTCAGGCAAGCCCCTCAACCTGTTCAGACCTCATCTAATAACAAGAACACCCTCATGTGTAAAGGAAAGGATTTGATTTACAAACTGTCTGGGGTTACTTTCAGATTTATGAGTCTGTGACTTTGACGGGACTCATTATAGACTTTCCATATGAAAACCAGTTTTACTATTAAAGGGAACAGTGCCCTGTATAGGAAACATACTTCATAATGTTGAATATATTAATTAATGTTTAGATGTGGTGGTGTATAATTTTAAATATCTCTTTTAAAATTTGATTCACAAAAATAGAATATAAGAAAATTCACCAACTAAACAGACAGCATATTTCATTTAACCACTTAAATGTTTGTTCATTTAGGAAAAAATAATTACACTTTTGCATAATAAAACTGAAAGTCAAATTTCAAAGCAGAGAATCAAATGCCACCAATCCCATTTTCCAGCAGGTTATTCACCAGTTTCCTAGAAAATTATATAGCTGTTCAGAAAGCCTACAGATTACATGGCTTAACTCTTTGCTCATAAATGAATCCAGTAGCTTGGAGGATTGGCCAAAAGGCATTATTGGGCCATAAATAAAGAAGTTGATAAAATTATGAGTTCAGCATAGATCATCATATAAAACTAGGACAGATTCAGTCATGTGATACATGTAATTTAGCTTAACATTGAGAGCAATGATTCTTAAGATTCATATTTATTATATTTATTATAAGTATCCTGTGCTTTAGACCCTAAAACACAGAACTTTAAAATTAAATTTTAAAGTTACAAGATACTGATAATGACTACTGAAAAAGTAAGAAATGAAAAGATAAGTCTCTGAGTCTACCCCCTTGGATACACAAGCATGTAGCTTGAATCTTGAAAGCTTGGTGTGCAGAGGCTCTGAACAATACATGAGAAGCAGGTAGGCCCTTGACTTCCTGAATTAAGTGCTGTTGTGATCAAAATAATGCAAACATAGCGGGGATGGGGGATGTGTGTCTGTGCCGGTCCACCAAGAGAAGCATATGATGGTGCCCTTTGGCAGGTGAAATGGCCACATTAGCTTCAGTGAAATATCTGCAACTACTCCAGAGACCTAAAACCTGAGATTTTTAGGTTATATGTACTCATACCCACATATGCATATACAGAGTCAACTTTCAGTTAGCTTTACTAATGTCACAGAATAACCAATATCCCCAAAGTCTTTTATTTACTTTTTATCCTGGAAAGATTTTTATTTCTGTACCATATTTACCTTCTTAGTTTTATGTGTTGATGAGTAAAATTAAAGATAGTATGTAGTCCACAAAGCAAACAAATTTGTGTTTTGAAAAGTAATCTCTAGGGTTAAAATGGGTAAAACACTGCCTATATTCATACATTGGTTTCCTCTAAATAAAGCGTTCACTTGCACCCATAGGGCAGTGCTTAATGTTGGATGCTGTGGGATACAATGGTAATCCTTTCCTGAAATGTTTACAGTCTAGGGATTGAAATACACATGGTTCACCTCATCTCTGTGTGTTTAGATTTGCAGAAGTCACTTCCCCTTGCTTTGGTAGGCATGGGGGGAGTGATATTTTCCATTATTTCTGCCTAACATACCAACTGATACTTAGCATCTCATTTGCTGGGGCCTTGCCTCCTTTGTTCACCCACACTGTCTCTTGGGGCACGGACAGCCTGTATCACAAGATGCAGAAATGGCTAACATAATCTAATACAATTTACAGGAGTATTGGGTAGGAGGAAACAATTTCACAGTTCATTCATGTTCAGAAATGTTTCCTAGCATGTAAACTTGCATGCTGCCATACTGAGCAAAATGGATGCTGTTCACAGTCTTCAGTCATTTATTTTAAAATGCCATCTATTGGTTTGTAGGGTTTAGAGCTGTCCCTCAGGCACATCTATTTATGTGTTTATGTAGATTCTTCAGAACAACCCGAGATATTTTTGTTCAGGAACGGGTTTTATAAAGTAAGCTGTGATTACATTCTGGTTGTCTGTTCATATGGATGGAGTCAATAACCAGTGTTTCATATCAAATGATGATCACATTTGCCGTTTTTACAAGTCATAAGAAAATTGAGGAGGAGGGAAGGTAGTCAAAGACTCTGTAAGGTCTCAAATGTTTACAGAAATAAACAATACAGAAAATAATTCTAGACTTCCCAAATAGTCATGAATGGCATGGTTTGCTTTCTAAAGTGTTTGCTTTATGATTTAGCATTTATCCATAGTTTTCAAAATGTCATTGCAGATTGTGTTAGGGCTTGAATCCCTTGCAGCCTTGCCACATGTTTGTGTGATATGAATGTACTTATAACTATAATTATCTGATAAATCCCTGCAGACTTTGACAGATGATTAATAACCACTGACCTTAGTTCATGCTGGCTCAGCCGGCCTGACTGAGGCGAGCTGGCCTGTCACTGTAACCTACAGGCGCTGCTCTGGGCTGATCACAGTGGCTTCATTTTTCTTTTCTCTCCAACTGTCGGGACTCCGCCTGGTGAGCTTCTCTTCTTGTGCTTAAGGATTTTTCCCCCACCAACACAAGAGAGAGAAAATGTATAATAAATAAATAAAATTAAATACAGAACTTGATGTCATGTTTCTCATCAAATGATTAAGTTTGGATCATTTTAAAACAAGTAAGTCAGATTGGATTTTCCTCCTTAGACCAAAGCACCACAGAGGATTTCCTGATTAACTGTGCACATAGTTTCTCTAAATGTGGTGTTATTGCTTTTTTCTACTATCTATATTTTGGCATTAAATCTTTTTTGCTTTATTTTGGTTTTGTTTTATCACCCCAATATTTTATTATGGAAAAAAATGACATGTACAGCAAATTTTGCAGGTAGCAGCCATATGTCCCCACCTAGATCCTACAGTTAGTATTTTATTGAACTTATTTTATCACCTATCTATTCTTATATCCACCCACCAATCCACATAAGTTTTGATCCATTTCAAAATAAATTATAGATATCAGGACATTCTTTTAAGCATTTTTGTAGTTCAGTGAAGCCAGACAGGCCCAGATTTGAAAGCACTTGACTTCTATCAACTTAAATTTTCTTATCTCTACATCAGTGACACTGAGTGTTGGTGAAAGATTTCATTTGTTTGCTTTATGAAATACTCAGATAATGCTTTCTGTGTGCAACTCAAAAATGTTGTCTCACTTAATCCCAGCAACAATCCAATGAGGTGAATTGTTATTAACCCCACTGTACAGATGTGGTTTCAAGAAGTTAATGAGCTCACTGAAAG